CCCCAAAACCCCAAAACCCCAAAACCCCAAAACCCCTTACTAAATGGCCTAGATTGAATTACTGATTCGAATGAAGGGTCTGAATTCTCATCAGATATATCTGAGACTGAATCCTCTTTGTGAATAACCTTTCCTGACTCCTGACATTCTGCAGCCCAATTTGTACATGAATCGGTGATATTCTGGGGTTACTCATAACCACCGGTGATTTAGCTTTATCTATAGCATGGTTAACACAAAACACAAACGTCAATCATTCAAACCTCAACAAATAGATAATCTACTTAAAAACGGTGACTTATTCTTCCTTTCCAAATCGTTCTAACTCCTATTACCTGCATGTTTGTTCGTACATTTCTGGTCCTTCCTTCGGCACTGGTGTATTCTTAGGGGGGATAGGGCAGGCCGGAGGTGGGAATAAGGCGTGGATAGTTTTTTAGTTGTTCTGTAATGGGAGGGTTTGGGGTGGGCCCGAGGGGGGAATGTGGGGGTTGCTAGAGGGGTAGGTAGGAGGGGCTGGGTGGTGGAGGGAGGGGGAGGGGAGGGAATTTAGGATCTTGAGGGTTGGAGGTGGTAGGACAGATGATTTTTGTGGCAAATTATTAGATTAGAGGTTTTCTTTGAAAACTTGAATATAAAATGCAAGAAATTGGTATACTTACGCTTTCAACTAGAAACAGGTAGTCTCTGTGTGCTTCTCACTCGCTTCGGGCTCATGCAGAGCTTCTCCTTCAACTGAGTCTTTTGTTCTATTGGAGATCCCACTCTAAGTTCTTTCCGCTTGCTTATCATAATTGTAGAAGATATCTTTGGTAAATATGCCATCAGATCTATTAACAATCAAAACATGTCCCTCATAAATACTCTTCGCAAATAATTTCCAAAGATTTGTTATTTGTAGCTGAAAATAGCTGATTCAGGACTTACCGTTAAATCTAGTTTTGCCTCTAAATAATGTAGAAAAAGGGATTGGACTAAAGGGTGAACTGGGTTTTGAATTTTGTTTTGGAATAGGAGTGAAGGGAGCATTGATTGGCTGGGAGGTTAGCTTGGGGGAGTGAATAGGTGGTTTTGGATTTTGAGATGGATTTAAGGAGGGTTTAGGCATGTTCTGTGACGAGAACTTAGGGAGATATGTGCTTGGGTTTTTGGATTTTGAATTTTGGGGTTGTGTGAGTTTAATTATGACCTTTTTGTCTTGTTTGGAAGAATTGTGAATGATGGTGTTGAATGATGTTGAGTTGTTAAGCAAGCCTCGATGTATTGATGTTGAAGATTGATGTTGATTTTTGGTATTATTTTCTAAGAAGTTAGAGAGGTTCATACTCTATTCTTGAATTTGAATTCTGATAATCATGGATATCATCATTACATATAATAATATCTTGCTTCCCAAAACCTTTGAAAGATTCTTGAGCCTTGATTTGGTCAATCATCACTGATTTTCTGCGATTCTTATTATGGGGTTCCTTTACTTCCAAAAATTGACCCCTAAAGCATAATTTATATTAAGTTACTTCTTTTCTTCTATTCCTGAATGATCTTCTTCATCACTATTCGAGACCTTGCTTGCAACTGTATTTAGATCTATCTTCTCTCTATTTTCCTTCTTTTGCATCTAAAATTATGAGTCTTGAGACTAACTACCAGAAAAGCATCAAAGATAATAAACTTTCTCACTTCAAGTTTTAGTAAAGCAGGTACTTACTTCCTTAGCAGTTTCATTTTCTTCTGACTTGTCCTTCTGAGTCAGCATCAAATAGCTAAAAGAACTCTTTCCAATGGCTTTTGCCGGTTCTGGCTCTGGTGCTGCCATCTGGCTATGAGTGTATTGAAATGTAACAGTGTTCCTCTTCCGTGTAGAAGCTTTGGGAGGATCGTACTCTGAAGAAATTGTGTCATGTATCTCACTTTCAAATTGATTAAGAGTCTAGAGATTATTAAAGAGGAATACCTCATATACTTTGAGCAACCTTCTCGATAATAAACTCATTCTCTGTTTAACAGTGTCAATAAGGATTTCAGAGTTGTAGTGCACCTTCAAGAAGAACTCTTCTCGTTTTATCTTGTATAATATCGAGTCCTTTGAGAGGCACTTGATGTTGGTTATGGAGTATGGGCATGAAAAAACAGCTTCTATCAGTCCAAAACACTCGTAATTCCCTATCTTTGATATCTTAATCATTTGCTTCTTGTAGTCAAATCCTTCCTTTATTTTCTGAAGAGGTATGTTCTCACTTGATATCAGATGTTTGAAACTCGCGTTTTGTAGCTTTTCAAGATATTTTTGCTGTTTCCTTGAGTATATCTTCAAATATTTGAGTTTTTCAGAATGATCAAATCCTAAAATTTTAAATTTACTTTAACTTGCCTAGATTGGGGTTGACAAAGACCGATTTGGTGACCTCAAACTCGCCATTTTTAATCAGATAAATGTATCCTAGAGGAGATCCTTCGCAAATGATCTTCTGGCCAACACCTCATTTCTCAACGATAAAATGATGGCATAGTTTCTCCTTTGTTTTTCTCGTTAAATAGTTCAGAAAATTGAACTGTGAGAGGAAGCTTACAGTGTCTGCATATCTTTTACTTGTAAATCTTATCCATTACCGTCTTGAAATCGATTTTGTTGATAATGGCAAATTGGCAATCCTCCTCTGTCATGATAGTAGCGGCTCTTGGAGAATCATTCATTAGAGCAAGCTCTCCGAAACCAACTCCTACTCGAAGAGTAGCCACTTTGTGCATGAGATCGAAACTAATTTCTTTCGAATCTTCTTGAGGAGCGACATAGTAGGGATCATCATATTGTAGATCTTGAAAACTAGGAAGCTTGGCTCCATACTTACGCATTGAGTCTACTCTCTTCTCTCCAGCAAGTATTTTTTTAGTAAGTTTAAAATTAAGTTTGGTTTTATAGCTCGTCTGAACAATTTCAGGGATCAGACGCTGGATTATCGTCAAAACTGCTCCAAATTTCTCATTGTCAACGATCCAAGCCTCATTCTCCACCAACATCTCAAGGAGGCCTCTAAATGAGAGCTCCATGGTTATTTTTGATGGGATGCGGACACTCACAGATCCTCTCAAAATGATATAAAACTTGGTTCCAACCTCTCCATACTTAATAACAAATTTGTTTTTTCCGACCGTCTATAGATTAGCTGATTCTCAACCAGAGCTTACTTGGTACTTCATTGCTTTATAAAGTAAATGCAGATTTTCAAGACCGTTCTCTTCTTCATATTTAATAAAATAAGGATTATTTCTAAAATAATATGACAGATCTTGGATGTGAGAATACTTCCTTTCAGCTGCATTTTTGCGAAGAATTTTCTTGACATCAGAAAAGGTTACAAACCTCTTCTCCTTTTCCTCCTTAGTCTTTTTGAACATACATTCTTGGATTCCTATCTTATGAAATATTTCTTCGAATTCTGACCTTCTTGCTATATTCAAAATCAACTTGTTTTGCTTAGATTCGAATGTTAAAACAAGTAAGTTCCTCCAGCCTGAACTCAAGAAACAAAATACCAACAAAAGGTAAGCTATCCCAAGGCTTTTATCTTAACTTACAGTACAGATGCATGGCAGTTTCAGATAAATTTGTTTTAAATAAATGTCTCAAAGACCCCAAGGTCTTCCTCTTATCTTTCTGTCTCCGTGTAAATTTCCTCTGACTCAGTTCCTCAACCTCACTTCAGGACTATAACCCATTAAAAATGTCAATGAGACTCCCATATAACCACAAGTACACCTACAGATTCGTTCTGGGAACCCGAACGGTCCAATTCCAGCTGCTCATTATCCATTTATATGTATTTTTATCAACTTAGCTTATTATAAAAGGGGTTTTGGGGTTTTGGGGTTTTGGGGTTTTGGGGTTTTGGGGTTTTGGGGTTTTGGGG